ACCTGATCAAGTTGGTACCTCTGCTCTCTATCTTATACATTTGACCTTTTCAACTATCAGAGCTACTAAAACTAAATCACTGTTGTAGAGATAATTAGAATACTATCTTTCCTTTCTCATGGCTATATATTACTGCCAATAATTTGTTTGATAGATTAACTTCACTCCAGTTTGCTGTATCTAATAGTGTGTTCATTCTTACATTGCTTTCACTTATGGCTCTATATTACTGCCAATAATTTGTTTGATAGTTATATGGATTAACTTCAGTCCAGTTTATTGTATTTAATAGTAAGTTTATACTCTTACACAGCTATTAAATATATGTTATTCTATATATCATTTTAGTTCAATTAAGAAAGTGCTCAATATGTATTAATGCTGTAGTTATTGATGCATGCGACCCAGGGTATAGCAGTACAGAAGCAGACTTGAAGAGACAGGCTGGAGTTGGAGATTAGCTGTGAAGTGGTAAGCAATAGATATCAATGCTGCAAAATCCTTCAGTACATGAATATAAGAAGAGCAGCTAGAAAAGAAAAGTAAAAAAAAAGGAGCTCAGGACGCTGTTACAAGCACTTAAAAGGATGTAAAATGGTGTTACCAATAGAATAATAGAGCTTGGGAATCTTATCAGCTCAAGTCTCTATGATAAGCAAATGTAGAAGAAAAGTGAACCTCACTAAACCAGGAATCTTATGAGATTCATTTACCATATGAAAATGAAGGCTAAAGATTTCCTTCTTTCCTTTCAAATAATAGCTTTGATTTCAAAATCTCCGTAAAAAATGTTGTATACTGCAAAAATTATAAAAAATCTATAATGTGTTACTGTGGAATCAAATATTTATATATGCATGCCCTCAGTATACACTCCATGACCTATAGCATTAGAAATTTTCTTCCCAGCATCCCTATGTCACAGAATTCAACATTCCTTTTAAACTGATACCTCTTACCTCTCACTATGAGAAAGGCTCTCGCTGGTGGTGCGGTCGTCATCATCATCGTCATCCTCTAGCATGATTGGAATAATGCGCTCACGCTTGGCTCTCTGCAACTGTGCCTCTCCGACTCCACGAGAAGGTGCTACATTATGGCGGACCTAAGAAAACATGGCCAAAGATGTATATAAGGATGAATTAGAATAAAATTAAATGAGCGAGGGGGAGGAAGGAAGAAAATAAAGAGAAATGGAAGGAGGGAGAGAGGAAAAGAAGGGGAAGAAGGGAGGAATAGCAAGAGAAAGGGAGGGAAGGGAGGGTGAGGGAGAAGGAAAGAGATAGGAAGGAGGGAAAGGAGAGAAAAGAAAGTGAGAGAAAAAAGGGAAAAGGTAAAAATGAAAACAAACTAAATAGCATGGAATTAATCATGTATTTTGTAATTTCTTAAGACAAATAATTTTGTCTGCTTATGTTATCCTGTTTGTCCTATAAAGAAAATGGAAATCTGTTAAATCATGATGAGAGAATCTTTCAGACATGATTGGCAAAAAAAAAAAAAAAGAAATGAAAAAAAAATATCATCCCTTTCTAGCAACATAATCCTTTAGGATAAACAACAAATATTACAGTTGCAATCTCAAAACAGCTACACACGTACTTCTGTTTTGAACTCCTGTTTTGGAGCCTCTTTGGTGGTAGGGGAGGTAAGCTGGATCTCTGCATAGGAAGATCTCTTGCTCTTTATCTTAGGATCTTGTTCCTCAGGCTTCTTCTTGTTGAGAATGATTTCCATCTCCGACTTCTTGCGATCTGCGTCCAGCATTTTTTGTTGCTCAGGGATCCTTCCAGGTGTCCCCTGAAATATGGGTCTCTAGTTACTAGCAAAGCAATAGACAAAGTTCTTATTTTCCATAGATCAAGGACAGAACTTGGATCTGTTAGTAAATTCATCCCTTACTCAATTTTGCACTGTGTACTTCACGTGGACATGTTACATCTGTTGAGTATGGTTACAAGAATTGTGGGTTTTCCTGCACTAATATCATAAGCTGAAGGAAATGCTTAGTCAATAATCTATAGTTTTAGTTTAATTTAAAAAAAAGTAAACTTTTACTAGCTGTAGAAAATTCTACTTATAAACTTCAACTATAGCCAGGGTTTTGATTTGGGTTAATACTGTCTGTTGTATGATGGAAAGCTCACCTGTAATATCATACTTTTCAAATGTTAAAAAGCCTTTCTAGTAAATAACATGAAAGCAAAGACAAATGCTACACAAGGAAACTAGCAAGGTTCCAATTGCAAGCATAATAACAGATTACACCAAAAATTAAAAACACCAGAAAATTACCACTCATTAAGGTATAAGAATGACATATTTACTGTTCAGGAGTGCAATAAGGAAATTTATAAAGCAATTGTGTAAAAATTGCAGTTAATTATGAAATACTTTTTGTTGCTCTGGGATAAAGCAATTTTTCTTATGAGTAGGCTGTTAATGTAAGAGCCTGTTAGAAAATCAATAAAGGCTTATAAATAAAAGTAACTCAATGGCC